AACCAGAGTAGGGTAATGAGAAATAACACCAAATCTCAGAACACCTTCCCTCCACCCCTCCCTTCTTCCCGGGCAGAACTTCCCTCCTGGATTCTCTACCCCTACCCCCCAGCGGTGCAGGGGGACATCACACTCGTCCCCTGCTCCAGCGTGGGGTCCCTCCCACGGGTGACAGTCCTCCACGAACTTCTCCAGTGTGTGTCCTTCCCACGGGCTGCAGTTCTTCATGAACTGTTCCAGCATCGGTCCTTTCCCCGGGCTGCAGTCCTTCAGGCACAGGCTGCTCCAGTGTGGGTCCTGCATGGGGTCACCAGTCCTGCCAGAAAACCTGCTCCAGCGTGGGCTCCTCTTTCCACAGGGCCACAGGTCCTACAGGAGCCTGCTCCAGCGTGGGCTTCCCACGGGGTCACAGCCTCCTTCGGGCACCCACCTGCTCTGGTGTGGGGTCCTCCCCGGGCTGCAGGTGGAGATCTGCTCCACCGTGGACCTCCCTGGACTGCAGAGGGACAGCCTGCCTCACCATGGTCTTCCCCACGGGCTGCAGGGGAATCTCTGCTCCGGTGCCTGGAGCATCTCCTCCCCTCCTTATCCACTGACCTGGTGGTCTGCAGGGCTGTTCCTCTCACATATTCTCACTCCTCTCTCTGGCTGCCTTTGAGCAGGTTTTTCCCCCTTCTTCAGTCTGTTCTCCCAGCGGTGTTACCACCGTCGCTGATGGGCTCGGCCTCGGCCAGCGGCAGGTCCGTCTTGGAGCTGGCTGGTATTGGCTCTGTTGGACATGGGGGAAGCTTCCAGCAGCTTCTCACAGAAGCCAGCCCTGCAGCCCCCCACGACCAAAACCTTGCCACACAAACCCAATACAATTGCTTATACCTGTGTGAAAGATGCTAACTGGTAAGGACAGCAGAATTGATTCATAGCTTTTAAGAAGTTAACAGACGCTGACATCAAAAGGTGTTATTCAACTAACATAACTTGAAGGTCTTCTAAGCTTCCCACCTTTAATTTGTGTTTTGGCTTTAGAGAACCAACAGCGTGAGGATGCGCCATTGTAATCAGTGGAATTTGGTCTGTGGTGATGAATGACTGTAAATGATGGCTGGGCTCAAGAGAGAAAGTGAATGGGAGTTTTGGGCAGGGATCTAAATGGGAAGAGAGGGATGAATATGTACAGTCGTCTTGGGTTTACCTCCAGAAAGCTGCAAAGGCGTCAACAGCAAGAAAAATCAAATAGCAGCCACCAGGGTATTGTAACAGAGAAGCGCAGTAAAAGTCGGGTGATCAAAAATACGCAACTGATGCAGGTGTCAAGACAACAGTCTCAGCAGTAGAGAAGAGGAGTCATCAGAAACATCAGCAGAGAAGTGATGTGATAAGACTTACAGTTCTGGAGGACTGTTTAAGATGGACTGGCAGTGGGTATGTGGATGCCAAAAAAGCAGGAGGCTGAAGTGGTGAATGCTGGTCATGATCAGAATGTAGAGGGGAGTTTTAGCAGCCAAACTGACATCCTCTCTATGTATGCCCAAGCCTTACTGCTTTTCCAGAACAAGGAAGCTGTTAGAAAGATGAGCCTCAGACTGAGATAGAAGAAAAGATAAAAAAAATCCTCCATAGGGGTAGAGTTTTGTGTGGAACCCAAAGGGGTCCTAGTGACGCTCATCCTCTGAAGCAAGTCCACCTGAATGCAAATGAGCAGTTTTGTTCAAACTTTACAGTACTGTAAAGTCAGTGATCTCAAAATTAGCACTTCGTAGTAATGATCATTTTCTGCCTGATGTGTGGGTTTTGTTTCTGTGGCTTTGTTTTTGTTTTTTATCTGGGCCGACTGTTCTTTGGAGGTGGTGGGATGAGACAAGTGAATAACTCTAAAAGTTGCTAGAATGAAATAATTCCCAAGAATATGACTTAGACATGCACAACTCCTTTGAGGCCTTTTCCTGATGTCTAACTCACTGCAGAAGAACGTGAGGACTTCTTTAAGGCTCCAGTCTTTGGAACAGTTACTCATGTGCCTAGAACTAAGCACATGCTTGTCCCCATTAATTGAAGTCTGTGCTCAAAATGAACTATGTGCTTAACTGTTAAATGGGCTTGTGGTCTCAACTGTGTACTTGGTGCCTATGTGGTGGTTTGGCAAAGTCTGTTTTAAGCATGTGATCAAACCCTTGGAAAGCATGGCTCTTTGTCAGTTAATGACTCTCAGCCAAACCAGCAACGTTCTGATACCGTATTACTTCATGGTGGTCACAATGATGTTTTCCTTTCAGCATGCCATTTAGTGTGTGCACTTTGCCTCAGTGGTACCACTTCGTGTTCAGGTTTTCAAACGTTAGACCTGATGTCTTTCTGTACTGCTGGATGGGTGTGATCTTTTTTCGAAATGACAAAGATTTTAGTTTTTTTTAAACTGTCAGCTTGTCTTTTTTCTCTGTGAAATCTCACCTGATGCTGCTTGTAAGATGCTGCCTTCATTTTCTAAAAACAGTTTCATAAAAAAATTCAGTGTCTGTTATCTCCCCCCACTACCCTATTAAAAAAAAAAAAAAGAAAAAGGGTCTTCGCTACCTCTGTATGAAACAAAACCTTCGAACAATTGCCTATTGACTGATAGAGCAAAGTTAAAATAACTGAAGTTAAAATAACCTAGGAGTTCTAACCCTCTTTGGCAGTAGAAGAATGTATGTTCTGTCTCCATTTGTTGGCATGCAATTCTCCAGTATGGATAAAAAAAAATAAATTGAACATCTCTTGTATTTTCTTAATTGTTAGCCGCTTGGAAAATTATGGGTCAGGTAAATTGATAACCCTGTAAGTATTATTCAGTCCACGGTTCTACTGTTACCTTTCATTAAACTGCTTTAAATGCATGATGACTCAGGCTGGCTGGTTCCACTGCTGCATTTTTCCATTGTCAAAAGTATAGAAGTTTTGGTCTCATCAGGGCTGCATGGCTTTACATTGTTTGTTTGGCTAAACTGTTTGGATCTCCATGCTCCAAGACTGAATAACGCAAGTTCATTCATGGAAAAGTGAACACTTTGTGTACAGTTAGGGCATCAGTTGCCAGCTCATCAACATTCACTAATTGTATCTCTTGCTTTTCACAGCTCTTCGTGTTAGATACACCAATTAGACACTTAGTGTTTGTGTATATATATACATTTTATTTTTTTCTATATGGCACTGTATTCTGTGAATGCGTCAAGGCACATTATTTAAGAATCCATACACAGTGTAAAGTGAATAGCAGAATTGTTGCACTAAGAAACGTTTGCTTGCGATTTGAGTGCTGGTTTCTAAGGGCTTTGATTCACGAGCAGAAATGGCTAACAAGGTTGCCACTCCTAGTGTGCATGCAGGGCTGGGAAAGCTGATACTCTTGTGAAATAGCTGCATCTTAGAGTGCAGTGATTTGAGGGAAACCATCCCAGATTTTGTTTTGTCAGAACGTTATGCTGTAACTTTGCACTGTAAATAGCTTGTGAATCAGAAGCCCCGAGCAGCTGATTGCTGCTTTCTTCCATTAAAACATATTTATGGTACAAAGGAAGATGAGTGGAGTATAAATACTCCATTTGTTTGTTTTATTTTTGAAGTCAGAGATGCATCCTTTAAAAAATGGCTTTTTCCTTGGTGAATACTATAGGTTAAATCAACATGATTTTTACTTTGACTAGTGGAAAAGCTTTTGTGGTCTTTGTCTGTAATCTCAAACTTGCGTTTGGACTGAATTGTGGATTTTGCAAAAACAGAACTGACAGTTAGCTAGAACACATAATTTCAGCTCAGATTTGGGGACTCCTGACCAAGGTGTAGTGACATGTTGGCTATATTGTGACAGAAGAACCTTCTTGCATGTGTGTGACTATAGAAGTCCTCTAATTTTTGAACTAAGACCTTTCAGTAGGTTTGCTGTCTATAGTTAGGTTCTAAGTCCGCTTAACTTGAAAGCTTCAAAAGGCATTGGGATATTTTGCCTCTAATACCTGGAGTAAGAGAAGAAACTTTTTTTTTTTCCCTTCTCATGGTGAGTTTTGGAACTGGCAAACAAACAGCAGTGCTTTTTGAAGCTCCATATGATAAGCAAACAAAGGTAAGTTTCCTTTGTGAATAGGAACAAAGAGTTACTTGAACCAGCTTTCAGGTTGCTAAAACTAATAATCTTCGTGTTTATAGGAGTAGTAATTGCCATCTGGAACAAAAAGGTGGAGTGTGGTTTTTTTAAAATCAAATGTGGAGGGTTTATTTTTCTGAAAACATGTACCTTTGATGCACAATACAGATATTTTAAGGGTAAAACTGAAAAATCCCATCTTTTGTACCCCAAAATTAGCTTGGGAATGCAGATACTTACATTTGATTAAATTGGTAGAGACAGAGGATATTAGACTAAATTGGCCAGTTCATATGGGAATCATCTTGAAATTAGATGCTTCTATTAAAACAGGGCATCAAAGATGTTACTCATAAAGTCGTCTGCTTTTTGTGAACTCTTCATTACTCTTTGTGGACTCAATAAATGTTGGGAGTTGATTGGTATATTTAGCATTTTGCCTTGCCTAAAGCCTAGTTGCACTTGCTTGTATCTGAAGTTACCATGGGGAAAGAAAGAATTAACATGTAAAACATAGAGCTAGAAAAAGTTGAAAGATAAAGCTAGTATTTTTTGTGAGGGCTGTCTACAAAGTGGCATCTGTGTGGTTACTGGTCTCTTCCTGGCATGAAAGGCTCTAAAAGGTACCTATTTGTAGAGATACACGTTATTCGCAGATACAAATGTTCAAGAAACTGCTCCAACAGGCTTGCTTCAGGTCAGACTTCTTTTAAGCTAACACTTGTTTGCAGTCTGTACCTCCGGGTGATGTGTCTGGCAGGCACCGTAACTTGAATGCGCTGTGACATATTACGTGACCCATACTGCATGCCTTTGTTTATACTATCATACTGCAACAAAACCAGACTTTTTTTTTTTTTTTTTTTTTCCCCCTCTAATATAGATTGGGGGGTGCTGCAGTCTTAACGTCTTTTCTGTACGTGACAATAGATTATCTCGAATTCCCTCTGAAATTTCACAAGCCACTGAACTTCATGTCCTGGATGTTGCTGGAAACAGGTAAGAGATTTTTGTATTGTCACATTCTTTTGCTGGATTTATTTAATTCTTTCTAACATCAAAAGATTATATGTCTAAGAATGCAATAACAAAAAACCAATTATGACTTCTGTGTTAGCATTACTGATAAAATTGTCAAAGTAGTCTTCCCCTTTGGCCCAAAGTAGCATAAATTGTGTATTGTCATGAGTACATTTTCTCGATTGCTTTGACCCTGAGGAAAAGACAGGATTTAAAAAAAAAAAAGAAAAACCTCTGGATTTTTATATTTCTGAATTAAAACTGAGAATCTAGGCAATTTGTTAGTGCTTCAGCTGAAACTACCAGCATTAATGTCAAGTAATGCTAATATTGAGTGTCTTATCTTAGAGATACAGTACAAGTAACAAATAATGCCACTTGATCTTGCAGCTTCTCATGAATCTTAGCTGATATGCTTCAGACATCAAAATGCAAAAAGGAGTGGATTGAAGCATAAACCAGCAAATTAGTTCCATTGCTTAGTAGGAAGTGAAATGGGGACGGGGAGAGAAAAAGCAAATGGCATCCCATCTATGCAATATAATTGCTCATAGGCACTTACATATTTCTGTTCTGGCAATTGTGTATATATAAGGCTCCAAAGCAGAAGCAGCTGACTGCCTTCCAGGGCATTTTACTGCAGTAGAAAAAGCTCAGCATTGTTTTATATGTTATTCACCGCTACAGAGAATTATGGTATAAAGTTGCAGATTCTTTTGTAAAGAATGGAGTAGTTGGAGTTGATGACCGCTGCAATGCCTTCTGTTAGAAGCATTAATCTCAATCCTATTTGTTCCAACCTAGGGATATACACTTAAGAGTTGACTTCATGACCATTTATTAAGTCTCCAAGAGATTGCCCTGACTTTTTTACTTTTCTTTTTTGAACTAGGCTGACGTATCTTCCCCTTTCACTGACTACCTTAAAGCTGAAGGCTTTGTGGTTGTCTGATAACCAGTCCCAACCTTTGCTGACATTTCAGACTGACACAGACCCTGAAACAGGAGAAAAGATTTTAACATGTGTATTACTTCCTCAAATGCCTTCTGAGCCTGGTCACCAAGGTAGGTGCCTAGAGTCAGTTTTTCATTACATATAGAAGTACTACTTCTTTGTTTACTGTGTTGTCTGTTCCATAAGTGTTTGTAAAACATGCATAAGCTCTAACGAGCAAAGTTCTGGTTGAATTTTCACTTTTAAACTTTTTTTTTTTTGTAATCATACTAGTTTTCAGAAGACTTTGAAAAACGTGGCTGTGAGTGTTATTGAAAACACAGTGACACCAGCTACAATAAATAAATTACAGACCTGGAAGAAGAAGACGACTTAATCGTATCATTATTCTGAGGCTTGCCAGTGGGCCAAGTAGTGGTGTCCATATTTGTGTACATTGATTATACATCTTAAATACATACATATGTAGTGAAAATCGGTGGCTTTCCAGCTACGATCTCTTTACCAGAAAAATAATTGCATAGCTAGTAATAAGCGGTAGACATTTTACTTTTTCGCAGGCTAATTTTCTTTCAAGCAAAGATGCTGTACAGTAACTTTATTATATTCTTCAACAAGTGTAGAATTGCAGTATAAGTTGCTATTACCTTTTGTGCTGAAACTTGCCTCTGGGTCAGGTGGAACCATAAACTCTTTTTCACTGTTGGCTGGGTTGCTGCTCCAGTAACTTCTGAATGTTTTTTGTCCTCAAGCTTTTATAGCTATGTGTGAACATTCAAGGGGATTTATCTGAGCTAATATTTAAACCTGTGCTGTAATCACTGGAGAGTAATTTATCCCATCCAAGAACAGACTTTTAGAAGAAATCATGTGGATTCTTCTCCACTAAGTATAAAGGGGGCCTGAAGAGAAAAGCTCAGCTGTAGGTATCTGTATTGTAGGTACCCAAACTTACCTAGATTAATTCCACTCTTTCAATACTATGCAGCTGGAGCAAATAGAAACTGTTAAAGCAGTAGAAATGTAGAAATGGCTCTGTTTTGTGTCAGCTTCTGGATTTTAGGAATACAGATTGCATTAAGAATTAAAATAAGTAAATGAATTAACCCCTTTGGATTTGGAGAAGATTAAGCTAGTTCAAGAAGAGCGACTGAGGTAGACTGACTTTCTCTAAAGCCCTCACTACTAGAAGTTAGATTTCCTCCTCTCCAGATGAATCTCATGGCTTCAAGGGTGGAAGGCTTGGATGTGTATGCCTGACAATACTGAAAGGATGAGGTCAGTAAAAGCAATGGTCCTGTGTTACAGAATGCCATTTAGGGAACTGGCTAATGTCGTATGGCAGCCATGATCCAGAAGAAAAGCATGTATAGTGTCAAGTATACTAAATTATATATTCAGTACTCTAAAACTGCCACAAACTTGAAACAGTCCAACTACAGAAAATTCTCATTTATAGAGAAACTATTTATTGTGTGTACTTGATAACAGAAAATTAATGCAAGTTCTGTTTTCTATCAAAAAAATAGAAATAGCCAATTGTAAATCTTCGGTGAGTGATTGGTTGGATATTGCAGTTATTAACAATATAACATGTTGATGTTTTAGATTTGCTCTGAATCTTTAGTCACATTTTGCTGTTCTAACAGATAACCTACCACGATGTGGTGCACTGGAGAGTTTGGTAAACGAAATGTCAGATGAAACATGGAATGAGCGGGCAGTGAATAGAGTCAGTGCAATTCGCTTCTTAGAAGATGAAAAAGATGAAGAGGATAATGAAATGGTATGTTTTCCAAGCCTTTGGATACCTGCAGATGCTGTGACTTTAATGCAAAAGTGTAAAAAGTATCTGAGCTCTCTTGTGGTAAATATTTCAGCTGTGACTGCATGCTTTTTGTGTACGTCTGTAGCAGAAACTGTTCATGCTGACTGCTGAAACTTTTTTTTTTCCCTGCTTTGAATATAACTTATGTTCTAATGCAGGACAGTCTTTGTTTTGCTTTTTTTTCCTGTGTCTGCTCAGGATGTTTTCTTTCCAGAAACAAGATAGGATCTTTCCCTGCATCTGTGAAGCTTTACTGCCTGAAAGTGTATAGGGTCTAATTTAGGATTCCAGCACTCTTGCATGTGTATCCATTAAGTTTGCCATTGTTTGTCTCTCTAATTTCTATTTCCAGTCTCCTTCTTTCTCTCTTTATTTCTTCCTTTTTTTTTTTTCCCCCTCCACCATTTGCATTGAAACAACCATAGTGTCTATAAACAGCAAGAACGTTGCTCATTAGTTTCCCACTTAAAGGATGTGGGAACATCTGTCACTGTACTTATAAGACCTCTTCATTAAGTTGGGCTCTGCATGTCCTGAAGATCAAAATGCAACATGATCTTTAGCTTTACTAACTTTCATTAGCAATTAAAAGTCTTTGTGAAGATTAAGACTGCTTCAGTCAGATTTTCAGTATGCTTCTCTGATGCTCTAAAAACTTACTGGTGGTCCTTATTAGAGCTCAGCTTGAGATACTTCAGGGCACTGTCGGATTGTAGCGCACTAGAAACGTGGTCTTACTTTAAAAAGTGCCTATAAAAATTCTTAGTTAGTAGGGAAATGAACATGTAAGTTTTCAAGCAAGGTGGTTGCTTAATCTAAAGCAGCAGAAACTAAATGTCTCTGACAAGCGTTGTTTGTAGACTGACTGGTAAGGGAGTTCAGAATGACGCTTCTTAACAATTTTGCCAACCTGAGAATGTCCATACAATAATGAGGGCTCAGGTGTTAATGACAACTGCTTTCAGTCATGGTATTACAGCCTGACTTGAGGCAAGAACCTTTTTAGGGGAAAAAGAAGTTTATGATTCTACTGGGGAGGACGAAGGGTGGATTTCCAAAGCAGTCTTGACCAATGCACCCATTTATGGGTCATCAGTTCCACTGTAATCTGCACAGTGTACGTGTATACCACTGAAAAGTAATTGCATGTATATGTGTATTGTACGGATACATATTTGTGCAATTATTCTTGGTGTTCTGTTGGTCTCTAATCTGGATGCTAACTGGGGTTTTTGTAAATTTTGTTTTCCTTGTAAAGGTTTCAGCACAATGATATTAAATGTTCTTGTGTCTAAGATGGTAGAGAAATGCTCCCTCTTCTTCCTTTCAAGATATTTATTCTCAACTGTCAAGAGAACCAAACTGTGTGGTGGGGCTGGAAGGCATACAGACCTCCACACAAACATGTATTTGACACTGTAAAGAGATCTTGCGGGATTCTTTCAAAACCAGCTGAATGATTTTTGTTTGAAATGTGATCTTAAATCACTTGGATGGGGTTTTTTTTTGGGGGGGGGAAATTCCCAACTATATTTATGAAAGAATCTTCACTTCATGACTTGTAATTGTACTTCACTTGAGTAGCTTTCAGATTAGTAGGTCAAGAGTGGAAAAAATTTGCTCCTAGACCGTTCTTAAAATCTCTTTCACTGTCTTCATAAACAAGCAGCTATGAAAATAACGTTCAACATAGAGCATCATAGTTTGAAAAGGAAAAGGGGGAAAAAATAAAAAAATCGATACCTAATATTTGGTATGTGAATGCTAAAGCCTTGAAGGTGTATGTTGTTTTTCAAAGAGACAAAGGCAAAACCACTTATTGCGCTGTTTATTTTTAGAGAACACTTCTAAGGCGAGCCACTCCACACCCTGGAGAATTAAAGAACATGAAAAAGACAGTGGAGAATTTACGGAATGATATGAATGCTGCTAAAGGACTGGATTCAAACAAAAACGAGGTCAATAATGCCATTGACAGAGTGACCACTTCTGTGTAGAGTTTCATCTCCAGGTTTTACCTCCTGTGTCTTCCCCTGCTGTTGAAATGTTACTGTCGTCTTCTGGGACCTCACTGAGCCCCTTTTTGTTTTTAACCAGAACCTGATTCATCATCTCCATATATGTGAAAAGTGCTGCCCACTGGAAGAAAGTGCCTTATTTCATCCAGGCAGTGAACCAATAATTTCCAAATAAATATTGTAATATTAATAGTGCTAGGCTTTTTTAAGTAGAATACACTACTGTATGCAGAATACAATATTTTTGTCTTAAACACAGGGGTAATAATGCTTTCCTTTTCCAGAGTGCTGGGATATCTTTTTCCCAGTGGCTGGATGTGCTGGTGAGAAATATAGTTTTGTGGAAAATTGATACACTTTTTTATTTTTTTGGCAGCTCAGATGGTGTAAATTTTAAATTTTTGTATAGGACTTTCATAACAAAATGATGTATTTCATTTTTAAGAGAAAATTTATCTTGAGCGGTACATATTTTAGTATCTGTGGAAGAGAACAAGTTTCATGGACAACTGTATTCATTCGCTTGTACCACCCATTGTGCCTTATTGTGTCTTGTATGTCATATTAGTCTTAAATATAGCAATTCTTGAGGAAAGTGAGTGGATTTAAACTTGGTCTCCTGTTTTAAATATGTTTTTCCTTTTGGACAGTAATTTGTTGGGATTTTTACAGCAGAGAACTTATGTTTATATCATGGGATTTTAGGTCGTGAAGCACAAATGTTAGTTTTGTTGTAAACAGAATTAAGATTTAAATGACCAAACTGCTATTGTTTATTACATGATGCACTCACACTTTAACTTAGTTGTAATGAAACATCTTGTTTTGGATGCTGTGTTGCATTGCAGTCACTAGAAATTCATGCTTCCGTTGTTTTTTTTTTTTAAATGTGCCATCTGTAAAATAACTTGAAAAACAGCACGGTAGACTTTCTGAAGCACAGTATGAAACTAGTTTTATGTATTACACAAGAAAGCATGATTCTTTAAAGTGCTTTGGTGGTTTTATATAAATATATAAAACCATAATAAAAAAAATTCTTTAAAAGCTTCAGTAGATTTATTGTATCATTAAAATAGCAATTAAACTATGTATGAATTAATACTGGAATTTACTATCATTGTTACTGTGTTGCACTTCTAGTGGTCCAATGCTGATTTCAAGGTCTTACTAAATCTGTGGGTTCTGGTTTGTTTATAAAGGTAAGTATTAACTGAGTTGAATTCAGTAAATAACAGTTTTGCAAAAGGCTGATAAAGATTGATTTTGGTGTCTCTGGGTTCTGTATGTGCCACAAACTAACAAAGGCCACTAACTCGTTCACTGCAGGGACTTGAGCAATCTGAGTTCAGAGCAAAGATTTGACACATTTAGTGTGAGCTAATGCAATGAACCCAAATTTCAACAAAATTAAAGACCTGACACTTCATGTATGGCTAACCACATCCCTTCTGCTGAACATTTCTTTCAGTGATTGTTGGTTATATGAGGGTTTCTAGGAGAAGATGTATCAAATAACTGCATTATTTGATAATTTTTGTAATTTAACTTCTTGACTTGAAGCTTTTACAAAAGGCACTGCTTTCTTTTTTTGATACCGAACAAGTAGGTATTGCAAGCTGTCTGTAAATATTCAAATCTAACCTGGCAAAATATATTAATTTTTATGATTTCTTCTTATCCCAGAAATACCTTGTCCCAGAGATTCCTCATTTAAGCTTCAGGCTTCTCTTTGCAGAAGCTGCTGTGGGTTGACAGGTGTTAGGTTAGTTTCATGGGTAGCGTAGTTTCATTCTTCCCAAAGCAGAGTTCTGCCAGTTGTTCTTGGTAAGCTGCTATTAAAATAAAACCGGAAAGAAAATGAGGTTTTGGTACAGTTGGCTCCAACCTTGGGCAAAATTTTCTTTTTAAAGTGCTTACTGGGATTGACACAACAAAAGTTTACAAATGTAGGAAACTTTGTACCCAGAGTCCGAGTAAGCCTTGGCAAACCCATTTGAGATGAAGATGAGTTTGAAAAAAAGACAGACCAAAGCCAAAGGCATCAAGACTCTGTGCTCTGTGATGACAGTTTTTCATTTTGAGGCTGTGGTTTGGTTTGTTTTTAGCATCTGATCTCTCGAATAGTGTGCCATTTCATAAAGTGGTTTAGGTACGCTTGTCCTCCCAACAGTGTTGATAAGGTTCCAGGCAGTTTTAACTGTACTTTATAGCCACAAAAAGCTGATGATGTTTGTTATGCTGAAGCAGAGTGTGTCCTTGAAAGCATGAGCCCTCCCTTCCCAGTCTCTGTTTGGCTCTTTTCTCTTGCTGATGCTTTGAGGAGCCTGAACAGTGAATATAATTTTGTAAACATAACTTTGGGGTTTTTTTTTCCTCTTTAAACTTTTACTTTTTCATTTGCTTTGTAAGTCCTTTGCGGGGTCCATCTAATGCAAGGAAAGAAACACTACAAAATTTTCATGCTGCTTTATTAGCTAAACAGGTAACCAGGGAAAAGCTCCATAGTGGTGGAGTGGATTTAATATTAACCTCTCAGTTACTGCATGTGAGTTCTCTTTACTGAGAGTCACAATTCCATAGTCTTGCAAGAGTAGGAAAAAAAAAAAAAGCACTCTCTTGCTACCATTCTTTGTGTAGTTTGTGTAGCAACAGATTTTTCCATCCCCTGTGTGTTGCTCCAGGCTTTTTCCCCACAGCTTCCATATAATTTATGTGTCAAGATTATTTTTCTGGCTTACATGCCATATTTTTGATAATCAGTGTATTGTGGTAAAGTGAGTACTGGAAACTTGCATACCGCTGTCCTTTCCAGCAAATGACTTGTTTGTGTCCAGGACAAGCTGATCAGCCTGCTTCTTGTCTAATACTAGTGCTTTACTAGTGCAGAGTGAACTGGTTTTAGCTGATTAGCTACTCAACATGTTTCACTACTTGCGGCTCACAAATTCGGCTTTTGAGAGGAGGGTACTGACACCAGGAATTTTCATTTTTTTTAAAGTATATTCTTTAGTATATCAGTTGATCCTGGCCTGCCTGACTGTAAATGTCTACTTCCCACTGAGACTGGAGCATACTAATTATCAGAAATGTCTAGACCTTTTGTTAATGGGGAATTCACTGCTATTCTGTGCCTTGACTCTGGAAAATAAAATTAGTTTTTCAGTTGACTTGGTAAGAGTGTTTCCCCTCTTCAGTTTCCATTAAACACACAGATCTGTTTCCACGCTTAGGTTGCTGACAAAGAAGATGAGGAAAGTGACTGGTCTTGGCTATCAATGTTTTGGGTGTTGCCTTCCTCCTGAACAAACTGTGAAATTTTCAGAGGGACAGTGCCTTCCTCTCTCATTCTGAAGTCAGGAATATAATCAGTATTGAAGCACCTTAATGAGAAATCTGAGATTTTTCAAATTGGAAAAGCAGATACCTAGTTTGAGGACAGCTTTGTGAGCTGCCTTGCAGGAGCCGTCTTATCGCCTCTACTGGTGGATGTTGGAGACGCTATCCATTTTTTGCCTCTCATACAATTCTTGTGGCAAAAGGACTGCCAGTCTTGGGTTCTGCCAGAGCAGAGGGCTTTGAAGGGCTCAGTGCGTGGGGCTGGATTGTGCCTTGTACTAACTTCAAGAGCAAGGGTCCATGGCAGTCTGGTTTTGAATTTGTAACTTGTTCAGGGTGCGCCTCTTAACACTGATGTTGTTAGTCTGTTAACACAAGATCTTGAGAAGTAGCTTATCTTTATGCAGGAGAGGTCTTCTTCTGAAAAGTACAGCATCAGTATTGTCCATGGGAAGGACTCTGTGACTCCTCAGTGGTGTTTCAGAGAAGGGATTTAGCAAATCTCCCTTGGCCTTAATACCGGGGAGTTGACACCTGATGTCCAGTAACCTTTGACACTTTTTCTCTTTGTGCTCATCTGTTGCTGGAGAATGTTGTCTTGACCGAAATCTCTGGATGTGCAGCTGGAGGCATGGTCACAGCCATGCCCAAAATGTTAGCAATGCTCACTGCAGTTGACAAGTACCAACTGTGGTAACTTTCCTCAAAATCCACAGATGCAGGCACAGCTTGCAAATCCCACCATCAGCAGCTTGAATTTCAGTTTGTAAGCATCCCCAGAATAATGCGGAGACAGGACTTAACTCTTCAAAGTTAGTTTTGTGTTGGACTAAAACTATCTTCTTTCGGTCCTGAGGCACAGTTGAGCAACTTACGGGACTATGCTAGTGATGAAAACACTCTGATTCTCTCTGATCTTTCCCAATAACTTGCCAGTTTTACCCAAACCCAGAACAAATGTGCTGCATTAAACCATTTTGAAGTAGCTCATAGCAGATATGATTGTCCTGTATTTCTGGAAGATTGCACAGGGCACTACATGATTATAAACGTGAGTGAATTTCTCTGTAGTTTGCTAATAACGTCGTGGACTTCCACTAAGCAACTTAAAACCAAAACAAAATCTAAACTAGCTAACAAAAAGAGCGATCATTTGAATATTACTGATGATTTTTTTCCATTCAAAAGAGGAGAAAACTGCAAGTCTGAAGAACATTTGCACAGTGGATGTTTTTAGGATAACCTACAACAATTTTTTTTTTTTTTTAATGGTGTCGTCAGGAAATTCAAAAATCTTATCTGGCTAGTTAATACTTGAACATCTAAGCTTAAAATTAAGTCTTGTATTTACCACTAGTAAAGTTTCCCAGTGGAAGGTTTGCTTCAATAATCTGTTCAGGCAGCTTTTATGTTGCCTCTTCTACAGTGAAAGCCTATTGAAGGCTGCCTTTGTTTCGGCAGCATTTTGTTTAGCTTTCATTCTTATTTCATGCGAATCACACAAAGCTCTTTTAGAGACAGCCTTTTGTACTTTAAAGAGGGAATGAGTCTGAAATAATTTTCAATTAGTAGAATGTTATGTATAGTTGTACTTAAAAGGAAGAGAATGTTTATATTCTAGGAAATACATCTTTAAAGGCATTTTCTTTCCGTATTGCCTAATTAAGCTATTTAAACAAATCTTTTTTTTTTTTTTTTTAAATAGAAGAATAGGCAAGAATGTGTGTTTGAGGTTCTGAGTTGAATAATAGTAGCAGGTGTATTACCATTGAAATATTCTAAGTAACTGAAAGCACTGGCTTCTACTTGCCAATGGTGACCAGGCTGTTGCTGCAAGCAGGGTGGGTGTTTCATTGTCACTGTATGGTTTCAGTATGGTACTTCAGAAACATGAGTGGTTTTCCTGTCTTAGCTTTTAATTTTAGGGTGTCTTAAATTCTTTTTTTTATTTGCCAGAATTATTTAGGGTGATACATAGCATTTGCACACCTTTGTTGCCTGGAGGAAATTCATTCTCCAGAGGACTTACTAGTGAGATCTTATTGGAATAGACACCTTGTACTTTATGAGAACAGTTTGTCCTCTTAACATACAGGGGTATGATACAGAGGAGTATATATGTTCTGAAGAGACCACCTTTGAAAACATGAAAAACACGTTCAAAGGAGGTATAAAGGGAGCCCACCTGACTTACTGGTGAAATACTGAAGGAAAATGATTTGTTACCAATCAGTTAGGATCATTACTAACTAAGGGAGATGAAAAATGTATTGTCATGGAACACAACAACTGCTGAGGCTGAGAAATAGTTTTTCCTCCCAAATATTTTTTCTGCATTTGCAAAACAGTGGTGTCACACAGTCCAAATACCCAAGAAGCTTAAAATCCTAAATACTGAATTTTCCTTCTCTCTTTGTTTTATTCCAGATATTTTTAAGGAGGATGTAAAACTACATGTCTCACTCTGTATTTGCTACTAATGACTTAAAACAGTGACCATTTTAATCTTTGGGGGTCTCAGCTTCCTCATGTGTTAAACACAGGAAGAAACCTCCTACCTTACCTGGGTAGTAAAAAGACCAATTATCGTCTGTAAAATTCTGTAAGGAGAACTGATTTTTCTCTCTTAGTATTAGGATGTTTGCCAGTAGCCTATTTTGTCTCAAAGCATGGCCCTGTAGTATTGAATCTAGTGAGAATGAGCTAATAAATTACTAGAGTTTTTTTAAGACATTTTTGGAGTACAAATCTACTATCTGTTAGCTGAACTGTAGGAATTACCACCTTGGGGGGTGATAGAAGTTTTTTACCCATCTAATACCCATTAATACACCAGAATAATGAGTTGGGTGGGGTTTTTTTAGGGAAAAAAAAAACAATAAAGAGATTGAGTGGTTGCTTTGCGTTAAAGCACAGCACACAACAGAGCTGTACCTTCCATCTCCTTCTAGCAAACTCTTCAAGCGCCTGGTGTCACTAAGAACTCGCACATTGAGTAGCACCATGGCTACTCTTGGCTTTGTACAAAGGGATGCGAAGAGCCCAGCACAGTAACACCCTGGCAGTCAGTGGGCCCAGCCACAGCATCCCTGGCATTCTCTGTTCCTCACCTTATATTGCTACTGAACTCTGGATTAAGTCCACTATCTTATTTCTATCCCCCACCCCTTTTCCTTCATCAGAAAGTTGTAAAAAAATGATTAAGATTTGTTTTCAAAGTAGTGTTAGCCTACACTCACAGCAGCAGCATTCATTGGCTTAGTTTCTCCATTTTATTTTAGGAAAGCATAATCCACGGCGTGTTTTGCTTACAACAGGTATGTGCAAACGTAGGCTGAAAGGCACTTCTGGTTGTTCCATTCAATCTTTTGCCATTGATACAACTAAACTGTGAAACTGCTTTCATAAAGATAATGCCATCCATGGTATTGTATAGACCTAGTGAAAATGTGAACAGCTCTTACCCAGAACTGTAGTTTTGTTTCTGTTTTGCTTTAAAGTACTGTAGATCAAGGATGCAGAAGACTAAGATCTCTCAGGTTACAGAAGGTGCGAGGTGTGAAACAGAAAATGAATTTCCCTTGTAGCTGTATGTCAGCATGAGGAAAAGGTTCCTGCCGTAGGAAAAGGCAGGCAGGGAGTAGGAGCTCGGCTGCGAGGGGCACGGGGATGTAAAATCTGCCGATGGACATCAGCTTGCTCCTCGTGCATACGAGAGGCTACCGCAGCAGTTGAAGGTATGCTTAAGATGGTGAAGTGATTGTCAGCATAAGCTTAATTTGAAACCTGTAACTGTCACCTTGAGAGAATAGCTTTTTGCTGGTGTTGCAGAACTTGGCAGGCTGGGTTTGAGAAGCTGTTGTTTAGGACTAGGGGTCGGGGTCAAACAAGGATGAGACATTCCCTCAGAAAAAGTGAAATGCTTCACTGTACCTGTGTTTATTTTTAGAGTGAAATTGCTTTATGACTTCCTAATGAGCTTAAAAGTTGATGAGGATTTAAACTGTCTCTGGAAATACCCTGAACATTGGGAGGTGTCACATTAGCTCTTCTGAAATAAAACAGACCAAAACAATAGCAAACAATTTCAGCTAGTGTGCTGTTTGCCTACCTGATTAAAATTGCTATCCACCTAGTTAATATTCTTAGGAAACAAAGCTTCTGTTAAGGATACCCTGTGTTTCCTTATTCAAGGCAAGCATAAAGAACTACCACGAGATATCCTGCCTTGTGTTTTGAATTGTCAGAGGAATGGGAGCCACTACCGTGTCATGATTGTTTGTGCTGCTTTTGCATTCAATTCACTGATGAACTAAATCGACAATCGGCTCAACTGTCCTGAGCGATGTGGTTTAGAATAACCAGAAATACGGGCTATTTATCAGCAAACGGTGGTATCGCTGAGTGCAGTGCAGTTCGAAATGGGGTTTAACAGCACATTTCCTATAGAGGCCAACCATGCCTTCTGTGTACAATGCAAATAATCCTTTGTTGGGGCTGTGATCTTTTCAAGACTCGCAGAAAGGTCTATAATCTTTTCCAACGAGATGCTGAGATACTGTGCTTGTCCATTTCCTACTCTTTTCAGCCATCCTAAACCCAAATGTAAATGAAGAATCCCGGGGGAGCTCCTTCGGCAGCTGAAGATGAATCAGTACATCCAGCATGGACAGCCCTGTCCTATCTCCTTTTCTTTCTCAACCTTAGATCTAATAGAGATGGTGACATTCTGGGGTGCTGATAACAGCAAGAAATCTCTGTGTGTGTGAAGATAACTACTCTGCATTAAAAAGGAAAAATGGGAGCTTAAAGAATTGTTAAATCTGAATCAAATACTGTTTAAACGATGTGAAAGTCACTGTGTGCTGCTGGTTGCCCTATTGTAAGCTTGTTGATAATTTTTTTCGTTTGTTTGTGTTATTCATCTCTTTGCCTCGTTGGAGCATGTGCGTTAATGTATCTGTTTATATGGCATCAGGCTGCTTTCTGCCATTGGATTTGTATCACCATAAGAAAATTTAAAAGTGAGATTAAAATAAAGCTTAAAAGAAAGATAAAGGTTACTTTGAAAAACAACTTCTGAAGTTCAGTGAAATTAAGGTATATAGGCAACCTTGACACAACTTGTCACATATGAACTTCTGTGTATGAAGAAGAGAGGTGGAGTTTTTTGGATGTAAAGAAGTAATGGACGTTTTGGGAGAACTGGACTATAATCACTTTGAAAATGAGCAAACCTTAAAAGATCAGTTTAGTATTGTACTTTCTATTGGGACTATTCAACAAATGGAACATTTTATTTAATGAATAATGAAAAGAGGCGGGTGACTTGATAGGGTTTTTTAACTCAGGTCGTGAGATGAGATGGTCACTAAAGGTCTAAGTACTCTTGTTTGTTTTCTTAATAGTACAGAGTATAACATTATTGAAGACTGTTGTTGATCATTAATTCTGCTTTACGATGCTGAAGGTGGGCTTGGTTCCGTGCTCATGTAAGTCCCTGAAGGCTTCCACTAATTTCAGCAGCCTTCGCTTGCTTTTTGTATCACCAGTTTTGCCCATTAACTGGCAAAGTGTCTCTCTGGGACTGAAGGTACCTCTCAAGGTAAAAAGGGGAAACCCAGTATTTACAAGATACTAAAATACCTTGCAGAACTTGCCAGACAGTTTCTGCATATACATACTTCAATCACTTTCTTAAAGTCTATTCATTGCCTATTTTTTCTTTTGTCATCTTCCTCTCAGGACTCTATTAAATGGCTTCCCAAGTCTCCTAAACTGTACGGTGGCCATACCTGGAGCTCCCAGGGTTCTCGCTGGGCCTCGTTGAAAGGAAAGGAAGGTTTTCATGGTGGTAACCTGTACAAATTCAGCTCTGCTAATGGAAAATGGAGGGAAGGAAGAATCAGCCCCGAGCAAGAAGCGGAGGAACTGGAGGATCCTGATGATGTAGGTAGTCTCCTTGAAGTCAGGAGGGACAATGTTGTGTGTCTGTCAAGAAACTACAATCTGCTGACAGTGCTATGCTGCCGAGCGCTTCGGGTTAGCGGAGGCTGCACTGACTGTACTTTCACATCCTTGCTTGTGCAGAGGGTACAGAATCACATTCAATGTTTTATTCCTTTACTTTGCTTGCAATTAAACAATCCATCCAACTCCCAAGAGTACAGTGCAACTTGCAGGTGAAGGTGAGTAATCTGAGCAGTGATGAGATACATACGTTTTTATTTTACTCCTACTTATAGCTGCAGTTACCCACATCCCTCCATCTCTTTCAGGTATTCAGGTCGTTAGCAGTGCTTGAAGCTCAATCTCTCCCAAGGACTGCATGGTAGAAAAGCGAGGTTGCAGTGCTACTCCACTGCGTGTTTAGTTTTTGGGTAGTGCTCTTCGAGGATGCTGACGTCTGGGGAACCCTGGATGCTGTGGTTTCTCTAGTTGTGTCTTGTCACCCGGGCGGCAGCTTGGCTGTCTTCTCAGTCACAGCCTGGGAAAAGGAGGTTGCGATTGTACTTTTGCAGCCTTTCCCTTTCAGAGCGTTGCTCCCCAGTCTTTCCTCCAGATGTTTGCTGGGAGTTCAGGGAGCAACTGGGGCTCCTGCTCCTCTGCCAGGACCTCTGCTCCCTTCCTAGTCCCCAACTGCTGCCCCGTCCTCCAACCCGCACTCCCACCTCTTGCTCCTGGTTTTCTCCCCGGCCCCCACGGCACCCCAGCGCTGCTGATGGGTCCGGGTTAGTCAGCCCAGCAATGTTAAAGAGGAACCTCTCTCAAGAGAGGAGAGACGATGAATGTTTTATGTGAGTTAAAGCTAAACAAATTCCCTTTTAAGTGCAAATAGGAAGCAGTCATGCCTTACTCGCTTTTCCCGGGTTGGCGATGCTGCTTTCCATCCCAAAAGAAAAGAGATTGTGGGAAAGCTCTGACTGAAAACTGAAGTGTCCAGTGGGGTTTCCGCACAGCTGTTCATGGTAATGCCACTGCTTTTTGCGTCTGGTATTAAACTTCCAAACTTAGGAAGACATTTATGGGGTTTATTTTGAAAGGTGTTGACCTTCATTGGCTGCATCATTTTACTGCCAACAGAAGATATAAGGATTATGGTAATATGAAGATCTGATTCAACCTTACCCATCAAATTAAGGACCAAAAATCAGCCAAAGATACATGAAGCATCCATAAAATGTGAACAGAATTCAGACATCATGGCTGAATTTCATTTAACCACTTCACCAAGCATAACTGATAACTGGAAAACGTCATTATGTTTTGCAGTCAAACTTGTCTGAAGCTTTAATTGTTTCGTGGATGTGGTCTAATTGTGTATTTCTCTTTTCAAGCCCTTGTGGTTTAGCTAAGCATAGGGTGACATTGTCAGTTCCTCACTGCATCTCAGAGTAAGTACAGCCTAGAGCCAGGCTTCAGAGCAGGCTTCCAGATGCCTCACCTTTGAGGCTCCACTTCCAGTGGACCCCTAAATCACTAAGCTCACCACTCACTGCCATTTGCAGCTAAACAAAGTCAATCCAATTACTTAAAATCTTCTCTTAGAGATGTAGATGCAAGGTCGGGGCTTGCCTTCCCTCTCACACCTGTGCTCCCCAAAATACAATGTGAGCCTTGAGGAACTATGAGAAATGTTTTACTTTCTGTATGGAGAGCCCTTTCCTTTGCCTCATGTGTGTGGTTCCTTGCCCTGGGACAGCAGATTCAGTGCTCCTCAGCTGCCAGAGGCTCCCCAAAATGGTCTTGTTCTCATGCTCCATCCTTTTCACGGGGCATTGCAGGATTTAGTTGGGTATATGTGCACTATACGTGCTTGTGTGTGTCACGGGAATCTAGAGAAAGGCTATGTGAATCCCAGTCCTCTCCCCGTTCCCACAATTTCCACCCCCATGTTGAGGGAAAACCTTGCCCAGAGAAATAATGGTAAAAGAAAGATACTTGTACATTCACTTTAAAGTTGCAATTTTGTCTTCAGTGAAACAAATCCTAATGTACAGCAGTGTGATAGAGAGGAACAAATCCAATTTACCACTGGTAGGGTCTGGGTATCAGATAGGTATTCTCCTTGCTGTCACCATGTTTACCTTTTTTTATCTTTAACCCCCAGGAACCTATTTCCAAGTTTTCTGGCAGCCTTTTTGATACCAACGATGGCATGAGAGATCAAAGAAACGCCAGAACAGCTCTTCAAGAAAAGCACAAGTCGGCGATGAAGGGCAAGACTCTTCCAGGGACTAACACTAAGGTGCAACTACCCGTCTCAGCAGTGGGCAGCATCCCTGGCGAGAATGGCCGGATCCCGGAGGAATCGAGGGCGGTGGATGTGCTGCAGCCCCCGCTGAAGGTATTGAGCTGCTGCGTGGGCTGGGCTTGACAGCGGGGGGGCTCCGTGTGTCCGTGGGGAAGTCTGTATGTCCACGGGGAAGCCGGCTTCTTGTGCGAGGGAGTTTATAAAAGATGCAAAGAAGGGGGGACGTTGCGTGGTAGGTGTCGTGAGACTCGGCTTTCTCAGAGTGTGAGCTGAGGTTTGTCCTTGCTCCCACTGGCTTATATGGAAAAAGCGTTTTCTGTTGAAGAAAACAACAACAACTTTGTAGCTGATCAATACTGTCTCAGTTTCTATATCCAGCTTTGGTGTTGTAAGGTCAAGCCAAGGGTGCGTGCAGGTGGGCACTCAGCTCATCTTCACTTAGTCCATGGTTTAGGAGCAGTGGCGTGGCCTTACCCTCTCTCCTGTGAAAAGGGATGGGAATGTTCAAGTGAAAATTTATCAGTGAGCACTGCAAGATTTGGGCTGAAGTTTATGGAGAAAGCTATACTCTGAACTCAGTGGACATCCCCCGTCTTGGCATGCTTTGGAGCACAGGAGGAGGAAACGTGCTTTATGGGGTTGGCTCCCAGAGGTGGCCCAGAACAGATCCCACCTCTGCTGACTGCCAGTGGGGCAGGAGATGCAGAATTGCGCCGCGTCCCCGGGGTTGCGGGATGCAGCACCAGGAAAGGCAGCTCGCCCGGTGTGGCAGCCATGTGGGGACCTGTCACCAAAACACTGCTGGTAGTCATGGACTTGTGAAGTCTCAAGTGTGCAGGTAATGCTGAGTCTAAGCAACATTTGGCAGGGTGGTTTTCATTTGACTGATAGGGTGTTTTCATATCTTTTTAGGAATTAGGAATTTCAGATGAGTATGTTATACATGTAAGAGTAACTGCATGCATCTGTTAAATTTTGAAACACAGCTGTGTTGAAATATTCTTAATTATAAAATATAACAAGTTATTCAAGCCTGAATTGTCTTAGAGATATGAAGCAAATCAATGAAAATAAGAGCATTTTGCTAATGTGCTAAGGTGAAATAAGGTGATAAAGTGAAATTGATCTTAAAGGTCTTTTCCAACCTAAACGATTCTATGATTCTAAATGCAATTTGCATTCAGATTCCACTAGGCTATGGGAAAGTGTTCTTTAAATTTAATGTGATTGTTGTTTTAGCAACTAGCAAATCCTTATTTACTACCAAGTATATTATATACTAAAGAACCCTCCCTCCCCTCCCCCCCGAAAAAAAAACAACTGGGGGGAATAATTCTTAAATGTAAGCTGTCTTTAAAACTTGAAACTAGTTTTATTTGGTCCTTGTTGTGAATTGTGTAAATTCAAAAAATTATCTAAGATTTTGTACTAAATTTTTGCTGATACCAGCAGGAGGAGAATAGACTAGATAGATTACAATTTATGCTGCTTTTAAAAAAGCTTCCTGATATTTTTACTTTTAAGTCAATGGTTAGAGTACTGTCAAATCTTTTGATGGGGTTAACACATACATACAGAAAGCCTGTTTAAAGAAAAGAAAATTACTGTAATAGTGCTCAAATTCAGTTATCTGTTCTCAAAAGCGTTGAGAGTAAGCAAATCATACTGTAGATAAGGTTCCAAAGGAAAGGTTTTTCATAAACTTATGAAAAAATATTTACTTTTCCCTCCTCCTGTGTACTGGCGTTGTTGCCATCGTGAATGCTCAGTAAATTGGTGGGTTTTATGAAACAACTGATTTGGTCAGCAGCCTTATAAACAGCCTTATATGGTTTTGGCATGACTCTAAAACCTGGAGAAATAATGCATTCTTGGTGTTATTGAAGAGTAAAGACTAGCCTTGCATGTGCCGGTGTTGAAGCATAGCACCGTTTTTCTCTGGGCTGAGCTCTATAGGAGCAAATCTGCTGGTATTCGGAGTGGGAGGTAGATTTTCATTGCTCATGTAGTTAATAGGCAATGTTTTTGATTAATCAGGCCACTTATCCTTATAATTCTTTTCCAGATAACCATTACTGTGTGCAGTCAAATGGGGAGTCTTGGTATTAGCATTGCTGGTGGAAAGGGCTCATCTCCATGTAAAGACAATGATGAGGTGCATTTCATTACTCAAAATTTATCTAGTAATCATTAGAAAGAAACTGATGAGAGGTTCTTTGAAGCTATTGTGTTTTGTTATTTTCTTTCTGAGGTTGTCCTCAGTGTAACATCACTGTCTGCGTAATAAAGCTAACAAAGGTAAACATGGGTAACTTATTTCCCAGGTAGAAGCCGGCAGTAGATTTTGATGGGGAAGCTCCTGGAGGGAGGATTTTGGAGAGAAAATCCAATGTAAACCAATGATTTTCCAAAGACAACCTGATGACTGAAACACTGTTGGCTAATTTCCACTTTCTACCTCCATTTGGGGTCACTCCCTTGGCAATCCACATGCCTCTCCTATCCCATTTGGTCATTCCCAGGAGCTAACTTGATTTGAGAGAAGTATTTCTCACATCTTTGCACTTAATTATCATTTAAATAAATCTTTGTTTCCCAGTCTGTCCCCCATGGCACAGTGTAAACAATTAATGACTTTTGTTCATTGTTGTATGTGTCAGCCATGGAGGCTTTTGTTTTTCTTGCTAATGTGCTAAGACATTTAGCTTTTATTTTAATAGAGGCAGCAGAACAACAAGTCCTGAAAATCCAATTACTTCCCCTTTGCTTTTTACATCTAAGAACAATGGAAGAAACCCTGTCAGGTCTGAAAACTGTCTTTTGTGTTACCAGGGGATGGGGACTGCACGGCTGCCGAAAGATGGTCCAGCAGACTTGGCTGGGGTACAAGCAGGAGACCGAGTGGCAGAGGTAGATGGGTTGTTCGTCAATGTGGACTGTGTTCACTTGTTGTTACCTTTAAATCAAATCACTCACAGTTGGGGAATTCGAGATCTAGATCTAGGCTTGCCTTAGCTTTTTAGATACTTCCCAAACTACATTATGAAGCAATTATAATGAAATTGAATTGTTGTATTCCTTCTTGTTGTATTCCTTCTTGTTGTATTCCTTCTTGTTTTCAGATCTTTATGTTCAGTGTGCATAACAAAATATTATTCACTTAAATGGCTGATTTGTAAAGGAAAACAATGGTCTTAGTGTAAGCAGTTACGTAAGCACAAATGCAGTTGTACTTGGTCCAAGAAGCTTTCTTATGACATTGTATTAGATTTACTAGATGAGTTCGTTGCAGTTGTTACAAAGAAATACAAACTAGATGAGCTTGTTTCTCCGAGGTAATTTTTGCCTGGGAGAGAACAGCTCCAAGTAACTCCCCTGATGGAGGCTTACAGTGCCAAGGGATAAATGTGTCTCTTGGGCTGCTCCACCTCAAGCCTCATCTTTCCTGGCAGAAGCCACTCTTCGGAGCTTCGGACATTCCCAAGAGCAGTGGTGATCACCTACAGTTTTGTGATAATACAGTTTTGACCTCCTGTTTGGTTTCCACCTGCTGAGAAAGGCAGAGTGGGAGGAGAGCCTCTACAAAATTACTTTGAGGTGAAACTGGTCCATAAATTTTTTCAGCTTTTGTTCTCTTAAACTGTCATTTATACTTGCTTAAATTAATAGCTTTTACTCCTTGTTGAATTAAGGTAGGATAGAGCAAGCAGTATTCTATGTCTATTAAATTGCCAGGAATAAGGATACAGCCTGTATCAGCCAAAGACAAATTAATGATAAATTCGTCTGCTAATTTTGTAAAACTAGGCTATAGACGTATTAATAGAGGAGTGTGTTTCACAATCCACATATGGAAGTTAGTTTAACATTTTTTAAAAGCTTAATTATGGTTAAAATTCTGTATCATTTTACCTTTTTTCTTTAATGAAATGGTTACCCTTATCTAATTTTTGTATTTTTAACAAATGTGAGAGAATTTAAATAATTCTTTACATATTTCACATTATCAGATCATCAGGGAAAAAAAAGTCCAGATTTTTAGTTGCTGTACCTCTAACTTCTGAGCAGAGTTTCTGGTAAAGTCAGTATCTTAAAAATCAACCACTTTGCTCAGGTTCCTCCCTGAGGCTATAATTCATTCTTATTTTGGGGGCTATTTGAAATATACTAGCTACTAATATCTGTTCATTTAATGAATAGTGAAACATGTAAAAAAGAGAAGAAATTTCTGTTCTGTCCTGCTGTTGTTATTTTACAAATAGTTATGATTTCTCTGTCTCCCACAAGATGGCAGAATCATTCATCTATTTAAAGAACGTAGAAAAAAAAAAAATCTCTGCTTTTTGTATGCATGGGAGCTGAGAAGGAATTAATGCATTCAGGTGTGCTGTAGGAGTCCTAATGTTTTGACCGCAGGACTAATCTGTGTACAAATAATCAGCATTTTTCTCTTGATACTATGTGTTACAACTTCTTATTCTTGAACTGACCATTTCAACAGTTCAAATATACAGTGTGTTCATCAAAAACGGGGAATGGCAAGAATTGCAATTTTATTTGCTTTTGTTGTGCAACCATATGTAACGATGGGGCCAGGTATTTGTATACCAACCTGAGAGGGAGGGAATTGCTGCTCTTAAACAGCGTTCAGAATAAAACCATGCATTTCTGCTGCTTTGTTTTTAAAGGCATCCCTCGTTTCGGAACCCAGTGCCCTTGATGCTGGTCCTACTGAAGCTTCATCCAAGGGCAGCCCCTTCCCGACAGTAAACCACGTCATAACAGTAAGTAAGATGGCCCCAGTGCGTAACAAATCATTCTTAGCTAAGTACTTTGTGTTGTCTGTCATTAATGCTAGTAAACATGGTAGAGACTGGCACAAAACCTGAGTGGCTGCGCCAGAGGAGAACACGTACCAAAGACCAGAGACCCCACCGTGCGTTTACTTGGCTGTCACTGCAGCTGGGACGTGGCTTCTGGAGGAGCTCAGCTCCTGGATAAGCACCAGTGTAGCACACCAGAGCTTTTGAAGCACTCCAGTTTGGGGGCTTTAATGGTGATGTCCATTCCCTCCAGCTTCAAGTGTTTATTCT